CTCCGCTCACTCCATCCCCCCTCCCTCTGTTGCCCACTCTCCCCCACCCTCAGTCACTTGCTCATTTTTACCAGGCTAGGGCAGGGGTTGCGGTGTGGGAGAGAGTGAGGGCTCCAGCTGGGAGTGCGGGCTTTGGGGTGGGACCAGAAACGAGGGGTTCATGATGTATGGGGGCGGGAAGGCTTCCGGGCTGGGGCAGGAGATTTGGGTGTGGGGGGGAAGGGTCCGTCTTGGGGTGCGGGCTCTGGGGTAGGGCAGGGATGACAGGCCTGGGGTGCAGGAGGGGGCTCAGGGCTGAGGCAGGGGGTTGGGGCACGGGAGGGGGTGCGGGGAGCAGGCACCGTACTGCACTTACTTTGGGGAGCTCCTTGGAAGTAGCAACATGTCCCTCAGCTCCTAGGCGTAGGGGCGGCCAGGCAGCTCTGTGGCGTGCGCGCTGCCCTTACCCACAGGCACCACCCCCACAGCTCCCATTGACCATGGTTCTTGGCCAATGGGAGCTGCGGAGCCGGTGCTCAGGGAAGCGCTGGGGCATTGCACAGAGGCCCCGTGGTTGCCCTTATGCCTAGGGGCTGCAGGACATGTCGCGGCTTCCCGGGAGCTATGTGGAGCCAAGTAGGGAGCCTGCCAACCCCATGCCAAGTGGACTTTTAATGCCAGGGTCCCTTTTCGACCGGGTGTTCTGGTCAAAAACTGGACACCTGGCAACCCTGAAGAGATTGAGATCTAGAAATGCACCCATCCCTAGAAATACTTCATGAAGAACTTCAACGCTATCCTTTCCGCTGAGGGGAAAACGTTACGATACGTACATCGATTATGTATGTTCATGCATTTCACACCAACTGGAGCAAGGGCAGCAACAGACTAGCACTAGCTGAAGCAGCAGAGCTCAGAAGCAGATTAGAGCAGTGGCCAGTCTGGAAAGCGAACAGCAGGAACTCCATTGCCCTAATACTGCTCGCTACGGCAGTAGCAGAGTCTATGTTGGGGGGCAAGGTCCCTGCTGAGAAGTGCCACCCAGATGTTGCTGGGTGTTTGGAGTGCTGATGAAGCATAACCACAGCTCACTCTTCTGGCTAAATACTGCACGTGAGAGACACTCCACAAATCTCCAGGCTAAGTACCAAAGGAAAGGAGGAGGATGGAAAGAATTAAAAAAAAAAAACCTACACTAATGCTTCTCCCAAGAGCAGTACAGATAGGACAGAATCCTTGCAGGATTGCAATGGAAGAGTTTTACTACGACTGGTCCTGAGATGAGCATCCTTAACTCCTATTATCTCAGTAGGAGCAAAGGGAGGGGGCTACGTCTCTTGCAAGTTCACCCCCAGACAGAGGACAAAGCTATGTCTGTTCCCAGAATGAAGCAGCAGATGCACAATGCAGAGTTTCTATTTAGTATTTTACAGTTCAAATTTGCTTATATGTAGTCAACAGGTTTAATGACAAGTGGCACTAAACAAGGCTCTCCTTCACTCCTTGCTCAGAATCTGAATAGAAAGGTGGGCATTACAGGGGGAAAAGTAGGGAATATTTAGGGCACTAAAATCCTTACATATATTTCACTTAAATGGATCCCCCCTGTTGAGCCCAGATTGGAGAGTCTGGGGAGATGGGTAGTGCATCAAGGCAGTGAAGAAAGCACAATCTAGCTCAGAACCCAAACCATCCTTGCTGGAAGGATGTTCCTCCTTCTTCATAAAGCAACGAGACCACTCAAGAGCAATTCAATAGGTCCCAGTGCACTCTACTAGATTAAGTAATATTTAGCAGACACTGCTTGTGCAGATCTGGACAGCAGCGTTGCCCAAGCCAGAAAAATATTAAGTTATCATTAAAATGCAAGTGATGTGTCAAAGGCACATGCTCCCTGGCAGCACAAAGCACACGAATGCGCTAAACTCAGAAGTCTATGGACAGTCATGACCCTGACAAGAGAATATAGTATCCTAGCAAACAGGAGCCTTCTTTCCACTCCTCATCTCACACTGCTATAGCCACAGAATTCTTTCAAGCAGTTTTCTGTTATTCACTCACCCCCCCCATCCCCACCCCATCTTACCCTCCACCCCCTTTTAAAGCCAATTATTGCTCAATCACAAGTCTCACGCACATTGACATTGCAAGGCAAAGTTCCAAAGTTAACTCACGATCATCTACTGTTGAGCCAACTAAACTCAGAAACTTTAAACAGAAAACATGGTAAATGAACTCTCTTTTCTTTGACTACTTCACAGTGTCAGAGGTTGATAAATGTATTGTTTAGAAGCAACCCATGCTTTGTAGTTGACACAAGCATTGAAAAGCTACCAAGCCAAGTTTGCTACATTTTCCTAAGAGAGATGCACACCCATTTATTGTGATCTTTTCATACAGATGGAAGTGGAAGAGTCTAACAACAAAAACACATGCAGGTTTCAAAATAAGAGTTTTTTGCTGATGTTTTCATCAGGTGGTCCAGTCAAATGACCTACTCAACCTTTTAATCACATCCACTATTTATCATCACTTTGTTACAAGACAAACATGTTTTATTGCATTGGTGCCAAATATAAACTACAAACTCTAGATAATATTTAGTCCTGCCAGGAGTGCAGGGAACTGGACTAGATCTCTCGAGGTTCCTTGGAGTCCTTTGATTCTATGAAACAGGTCTGTGCAGAACTGGGCAGGGTATACGTATCCCTGAAAGCAGGGATCCATTGACACTTTTGTTGGCCATCCAGCATCAGAAGACCTTGAAACTCAATGGCTGGGCCCTAGTACCAAGCCACAAATTATGGACAATTAGGAGTCTGGTGGCACCTTAAAGACTAACAGATTTATTTGGGCATAAGCTTTCGTGGGTAAAACACTTCTTCAGCTTATGCCCAAATAAATCTGTTAGTCTTTAAGGTGCCACCAGACTCCTCGTTGTTTTTGTGGATACAGACTAACATGGCTACCCCTCTGATACTTGATTATGGACAATTGTTATCTTTACTGAGGATGAAGTTCAGCTTTCCCCCAGTCATCCTTCGGCTAAATCCTCCAGCAGACTTTAAACAAAAAGTGACCTGCAGTGAATTTTGTGCTGGTGAAAGACTGACTGATTGCCATTGCTAGAGACTAGAATCCCATGTCTACCAACAGAACGGACATGCCAGATTTAAAGACACACACTAGATTTTGTGTGTGTGCAAGCTACCCTCTCCAATGTGCAGCTTAACCTGGACAGACTGGAAGATGATATTTTAGGTTCAGTGCCCCAATTCAACCCTCAGCCTTTCTGTTAAAAGCTACCAGGGACTGGAAAGAAAGCCACCAACTCATTAGGTTAAATGTTATAGGAATGGCTTTTTGGTGTTTGCCATAGTCACCAATCTGAATTCAGAAGCCCTAATGGAGGAAGGTTCCATACCCTATTACCGGTTTCCTTGGCAACTGGCAACCATTAAAACAGCTTGTGCCATTAAAATTAAGTTGAACAGCAAGTGAAAATAAAGCTGTGACCAGTTAGCCCCTCTTGATTCTGACAAGAGGCTGATAGTGGAGCAAACCCATTACAATTATCTTTGTGATGGGGACAATGTAATGTGTAAAAAAATATGGCTTTGTTGAGAGGTGTTAATTCTGGATCAAATAATGTTCGGCTTTGCTGGTATTTGAGCCTGGATACTAAATGACTCTTCAGAGAAGTTTTCTTTAGAACAGGATCAACAGGAAACTAAACTAAACTAAATTAACCAATTTACTTTTGAGTGAAAAATATTTAAAATAGGTCCCCTTTAAGAAATTTAGCACCCTGTATCAGTACATTTTTTTGTCCAGAACGATTAGAGAATAAACACAAACTTCTCAACATTAAAAACACACTAAAATCATGTGCATTGGCTGTATTTGAAGATCTTTATTTTCGAATAGTCTTTTTTTTGGGGAGGCTGTTCTAGTTGACAGGTTTTTTTAAACTAGGTTCACAAATGAAGAACAGCCCTTTTCCCAAATATCTACCATCTTTTATTCTAGTTGGGACGGAGTTCACAGGAGCCTCTTAGTTAAGTGGCCCTCTTTCAAAATGGCCATT